ATTTTTAAAATACATGGTAATCAACTACTCAATAATCAAATCTACTCCAAAAAAGTAAAAGATCATGAAAACCACTCCTTCAACGCTAGATTATGTAAGTTTTATCATGTCAAATGTGTTCACCAGAAAGAATGTGTATTCTTAATTAGTTGCCAATGTGTGGCCACCCCATTGGCTCCATGCCAGATTTTGACGAGCGGACAACCATATTAACGTACTGTCTTCAACATGGGAGGACAATGCACGTCCCCACAACAATAGACAATCAAGTAAGAAAAAAGTGGAGTGAAAAACCGCGTGACAAGGTGCACATTAGGTTCTAACATGGAAGGATGAGGCATATATATATGATGGAAACGACAGTCGCTTCGCTTGAAGATCCAAAAGCAATAGAGATTTGCGATAGCAAACTCTTGCCTTAGTTAGCGAGTGTGCATTAACATGGTAGTGTGGTTGTATCAGTGTAAAGATGTTCTTTCCTCGATGCATTTTTCCTTTCTTTTTCAGTCCCAACTTCACATGTTATGTACTCCCTCCCTCCCACGATATAAGATCGTTTTCCAAGCTAACATAGGTTAAAGAACGCTCTTATATTGTGGGACGGAGGGAGTAAAAAGGAAGGTAATAAGAAATAGGCGTTTGGTGTTTTAAACTTTTGAATGCACTTTTTGGGAACTAAATATAAGAAGCAGGAGTGCAAATTAAAATCCACTTAATAGTCAAATTAAAATCCACTCCCTGAAGTTTCCAAATATTAATGTTTAGGCATCCAAATATTGTTAATCAACTCAGACCACCCATTACTTGTTACTATTAATTAGGCCTCTACAATAGACAAAAAAGAAACAAACAGAAGAGTTCACTCATTTATGAAAAAAGATATGCAGCAAGAGTGCAAGACTTTCAGTTAGTTAGGCCGTTGGAACCATGTGAATCAAGACATTAAGCTGTGCTCATGGTCGTGAATCGGTGGAACCAGAAGGAAGCAACGGAACTCGGATTGGCATGACAACGCATGCCGCGCATAGGTCGCGTGGCCCCACATGACAGGCAAATATGTCACACGATTGTACTTCCCATTTATGTACTTTGCTCAACCAGTAGTTATCCATTTTTGTTATTCCCTATTTGATACTACATTTCCAAATATAATTATATGGATGCCTGTTTTATCAACTACAAACAATTGAGAAGAAAAATACTACTACTACGATAATTTGTATGGTCCGACGATATAAGTTATGATATGTCTGATCACTTCTCTCTCTCTCTACGTTGTTTTTTTTAAAAAAATTCGCTCCACGTTGTTACCTTGACCAGTATCTGGAATCAACAACTTTTCTTGGTGTCGGCTTGTCCATCCGTTCATAACTCTCATCGTTTCCTTAAAAAAAACTCCTAGTATAGTTCCAAACGAAAGGTGAAAAGGAAGTTTCTAGGAAAGGGTCAGTAGCTTTCCAGTGTGGACCACAATATCTTCTCTTCCATGTGTTGGACGTTGCCATGTTGGGGCCCGCGTGACATGTGAGCGCAGCCCAAAGTGTATATCTTCTATGCATGCCACCACAAAAGAACAAGAGGCCAGCCAAGCGCCCATAAAAAGACAAAATAGGCAAGTGGGTCTTTTGCTTTCTTTTGAGAGTGAGGAATCCAGGCGAGAGTCCGTGCAGCGTTTGACAGGTGGGTCCTCAGTTGTCGGCATACCTTCCATTTGGCGTGTGTCGGGCGACACGTGCCGTGAGGCGGGGCCGGCCTTCCAATCGAGAGAGGTAGCCACTGCTCAGGTCCAAGTCAATGACGTCGTGTCCACCACAAGACCCTTGTCTATCTACACACGCATGTCACTTGAAGACGCTGACAATGGTAATTGGTTCTAGTCGTGATGATGCAGTCATTGGTCTTTCTAGTTGAATGGAGAAATATAAAGTTATAAGATAAGGGTAACTCCAACGCGGATGTGTTCATGGGTATCAAATGTTTGTTTCAGTTTAGGGATTTATTAAATTTTGATATATTTACCATCAAACGGTCAAAATTTTAAAGTACAAACTAATTTTAACCTAAACTAAACGAGGTACCAGACGGTGACCACGTAGGCATGGTCGTCTTGGCCACCGGGACCTCTCTCATCGTTCGTGTCGTTGCTTGAGCGTCATCCGTGCGACCATTGTTGTTGTCCTTGGAGTTGTTATCTCCGTCCTTCCAATGGAACAAGACCCTCCAGGCATAACAACATCACTACCCAGCGGCCACATCGCGCTCACCGTTTGACTGCCTCCGCTTAGCGCAGACGCTCGGTAGCCTTCAACTGACATCGACGACTGATCGCGAACTCCTCCTTGTGCCGCCCACCCTTCCCTTGGAGCAAGGAGAAGCAGTCAGACTCGGACAACCCCACTTGGTGGAGCTGGTTGCCGAGCTGGCGTCGATGGCGTGCGACGGTCTGCTTGGTGGTTCTGGACTGATCCAGGGCCCAAGCCTCCGCAAGCGAGGGGTCCACAACTACCCCGGTCGGTGCGACGTCTGACTTCGCGAATGTCACCCAGCGCGCCGCATTGCATCGCTCCCATCGCTCTGCCTCGACGAGGCATTTGTTGTCCTTGAGGACGCCAAGTGGAGGGATCCTCCTTCACGGTGACCGAGAGCCACTAGCTGCCTGACTGTCGACACGACAAGGATAGTGCTGCCTGCTCCTTCTTGGGGCGTTTGACCTAGACGTCATGGCTGCGTGGCGCAGATGTCGGCTCCTCCTGCATGTTGTGTCCGATTTGGACGCTGCGGTGGGGCACAGGAGACAGCGACGCCGAGCCACAGTCGATGATTTGCCGCGCTAGCACCATCTCCATATGCCCCGTGAGCTCCTTGTCCATCATGGCTGCCCAATGAGGAAGGGTAGTTGCTACTTCTCATTGTACGAGGAGACCGACTCCGGCTTGATGAGTGATGGAGCCATGGACGCGGAGGGGCCCAGAGATCATTGGCGGCAGCGTGATACGAAGCTTCCCCTAAATTTGGAGGAGCACACTGGGAACCACTTGGACACGTCGGACTTGCCCATTACGCCGACCGATAGTGGAGGTGGGCGGATTTGGGACACGAGAGGTGGTAATGTGGTGTTTCAGGGCCTAACATCCATGGTCGATCAGCTTAATAGACAGGGAAGCGGACCGGCGTTGCTTCAATGCGGGCAGTGGCTAGAGCAGGCTTCTCGATCGTCGTGCCATGTCAACCACATTGGTCATCCAACATCGATGCGGGTACGCTATTGCCCATCCGGCCGTGTCCCATCTGACTGGCATAAATGTAGGGCGGAGAGTTCTAGAGCAGAGGGAGAGAGAAGACTTTTGGATGGTGCCACGTTGTTGGAGTACGACCACGACCCACGTCCAAACTCCCCCAAATCTACACCCAGTTTGGTTCCGATGGATGGATTTTGGATGTCGGATCGGTCCAGACAAATTTGGTTACTGACGTTGGATGGCTAAGAATGTCCACACCATTCAATTAAGATATTTGCACGCGATTTGAGATCCCCCCTAAGCTTCTATACCACGTACAATTTGCTTTCCTTCTTTTTTGAGATTTTTTTCCCTTCCCGCGTGAATTTTGTAATGGCAGCGCAATGTAATTCAGGGGACATTTGCGGATACAATTTGGGTGTGGCTATTATTTTTTTGTAGTTTTCCATATCGGTCGCGAGAGATGTGGAGTGGTGGTGAGCACGCGGCTATCATAACTCCCAACACGTCATCAACTACTCCCACCCCAATACCCCATCGCTTTCCATTTCATATAAAAAGCAAACGCCCCTAGAAGCTCTCCTCGACCCATCATTCCTTTGTTCCTGTGCCGATGCCTAAAGTGTTCTCGCCGCATCCCCCTCTTGCAACCTACCTATCCTCCACCTCCAATTGACCCAGGAGTTCGCAGCCATAAACCCTAGGCCCATTCCGTGTGCACTACATAGACCTCGTTGGTGGCATGGACGTTGCAACGGTGGCGAGACCTCACATCTATGACACCATCTTCTTCCTCCAACATGTTGGCCAACGGAAGAACTACATAGTGGACATGGAACGAGATTTTGTCCCTCCTCTCTCTATCTCGGGTCAAAGGAGGTCGAGGCGTTGAATTGGCGTCGTCAAGCCATCATCCGTCTGGTTTCTGCCGCACTCCCACTAATCGGTACGGTTATGTCAGTTCCGTCAATCTTCTCCGTCGTCTGATGCTCTATGGCCACTGCTGCCTCCTAGTGGCCGATGG